ATAGATAGATAGATAGATAGATAGATAGATAGATAGATAGATAGATAACAACAGAGTTTATAACAAAGACATGTTTCACTTGAGCGTTTCACTGAAGGCCTGAACTCCACTATGATTCTGTTTCTCTTTATTGTGTCCATGCTTCGTAGCATGAACTCTAAAGTGATTTGTTTTCTGTATTCAGGATTTTTATCTTCATCTGTTACATGTTTGTTTCCATACAAATCAAGGAAGGGCTTCTGTTTCACCATTTCCAATCCAAGGCTGCCACCTTCAGGGTATTTTTCCCATGTTCAGCTACTACTGTCTCGCGTTATAAATAAAATTCAACCGCTTTGGATGCCTAGAGGTTTACCTTTTTCCTGTTTACATTTGAGAGACCCAAATGTCTCAAATGATGTGAAATCTGTGGCTTTTGTCAAACTCTGATCAAATGTCTTTATCTTCTGCTTTTGGCTTTTTCCTCTTCAGGGGTCTCCACAGTGAGTCATCCTCCTCCATCTCACTCTGTCCTCACTCCAACTACCTATCTGCATCCATATATCTCCTCTTTGTCTTCTTCCTGGCAGCTGCATTTCTAACATCCTTCTATACCCACTGTCCCTCATCTGGACGTCCAAACAAACCATCTCAGCCGGGCCTCTCTAACTTTATCTCCTAGTTTTTCAACCTGTGCCGTACCTCTGATGATCTCATTCCTAATCTTATCCATTTTCACTCCTAAGGAGAACCTCAACATCTTAATTTCTGCTACTTCCAGTTCTTTCTCCTGTCTTTTTGTCAATACCACTGTCTCCAAATCATACAACATACATAGCTGGCCTCACAACTGTCTTGTAAATTTTTCCTTTGACCTTTTCTGCCACCCTTGTGTCACAAATCATTCCTGAAACTTTTCTCCATCCACTCCATCCTGCTTGGACTCTCTTTTTCACCTCTTTACCACATTCCACATTTTCCTGGACAGTGGATCCCAAGTATTTGAAATCCTGCACCTCTGTGATCTCTGTTTGATCGAATGTCTTTATATTTAAGGTTAATCTCAAAATTAAAGTACAGTATATGAACCTATCCATGGGTAAAATAATCAGCAGGTCTATTCTATACGTGATAATGTTCAAAATGTTATTATTTTCCTTGACAGCGTAATTCTATGTATAGTCACCCGGAAAAATAATGTTATTGAGAGAAAAGTATCTATTTTCCCGCACGTCGTGTCCCTTACGGGGTTTCATTAATCACTTTAGCTTTTCATAGTGGGGGGGGGGGGGGGGGGCTTTTTTTTGGTACACCTACTTCTGCGCAAGCGCGCCATCTGTTGCGCATGCGCTGTTAGACGCCGCTAGTGTGTGAGAAGTCATGGCGGAGCCGATGCAGACCGACGATTTTCCTTACTCACCTTCAGGACTGGCTGAAGGTATGACTGTGCTTCTACTGATTTCATGAATTTGTGAATAAAAATTGTATCGTCGCGTTTAGTGAAAGTCGGGGCCATTGACGCTTTTAAACCCCAGAGTTGTTGTTAGCTTCCTCCTAGCTAACGTTAGCCGCAGCGCTCTTTTCGCGCTGCGGCGTGCCAAAAAAAAAAAAAGGTGCTAAGCTAACTAGCGCTAGCCGTTTCTGCTCCAAGGTCGACAAGAGCAGCTCCGCATCCGATGGTTTATTCTGACGAAACTGGAAACCAGTGTTCCTGCTTGTGTTTTATACACCGAGATGAGCATCTTTAGACCGCATTCAGCTCAGAAGTTTGTTTTAGGTTGTTGTGAGATGCTCTTTATGCAACGAACGTAGCGTGCTAAGAATCGGCTCCTCACACGAGACCGACCATTGATCGTCTCGGAGAATGGATCGCAACTAAACTTAGCATTAAGTGAATAAAAATCCGAATTTTCCACGTTGTCCTATGTGTCGTCACTACTTCAAGTAGTTCTGATTTTGAATAGCTGTGCAATTTGTTACTTTCCCACAATATGTAAAATTACGTAACAAAATGTGCGGGCAGAGTATCGGTTTTCAAGGGATGGTTCAGGGATCTTTCAGAAATCCCGTCAGGTTTTCTGAAATTGACGCTGAAGTTTTACCATTTGTATTTTCCCCCGCTTATATTGACAGTCCAATGTGTTTCACTTGCTTCAATGTGAGCAAAATGAGTGTTTTTGTGTAAATAAATGGTATTTAACTCCCCTTTTACTTCTGATGGAAATAGAAAAACGTCACAAAAACACATCTGGAACAAAACACAGTTGTATTTTATGTTTAATATTGTCCAAACTATAAAAGTATGGAACCCTGAGGGGTATATGCAATAATTGAAGACCAGACTCTAAAACAGGTCTCTATTGTAAATGAATCGTGACTCAATGAAACTAACCTGTATAAATAGAAGTTGAATGAATGAATAAAACCCTCTCTACATGGCAACAGTTTATCTGTGACAATCTGTTTGGGGACTGCCTGAAGGCAGCCTCTTATTATTATTCACCTGAAAAGGGTCTTGCTCTTCCATCAACTTTAATGCGGCCCGAACCACAATGTGAACCTCACAAATTTTATATCAAAACGACCAGCTCGTCACCGGACGTGTGCTATTGCTTTTATTGGCATTTCATAATACAAGTCTTATTTGCTTGTACCAAACCCACATTTTTTTCAGCAGGTGTCTTGATACAGTGCAACAACAGTCCACCGAGCCATCGGCAGCACGACGGCTCAGTGGTTAGCACTGTTGCCTCACAGCAAGAAGGTCCTGGGTTCAATCCCCAGTTGGACCTGGGGGTATTTCAGTGTGGAGTTTGTATGTTCTTCTTGTGCTTGCGTGGGTTTTCTCCAGGTACTCTGGTTTCCTCCCACAGATCAAAAACATGCATGTTGCGCTGCCTTCAGGTCCAGACTTCCCTTGCGAAAGAGATTTGCGATCTCAATGGGATTTGCCTGGTTAAATAAAGGTTAATAATAAATAATATCACATAATAATAATAATGTGGTATGTAATGCCATCATTGTATGTTCCCATACAATGGCGAAATTGGCTCTCTGCATTTAATCCATCCACCACCAGGTGGCGCAGTGGGCAGCTATGGAAAGTGCCCAGGGAGCAACTGGGGATAAGGTGTCCTCCTGCAATCTGACCAAATTGAATCTCCCGACTACTTCTATAATACACCATCTGTTAATGGCACACCTCGGGCTTGATGCTTCAAGATGACGAGATGGTCTGGGATTGTTTGAGCCAAGAACCGTGACTCACAAAGGCTAAAAATGTGCTTCTGTATCTTGGCTTTTGGTTTTTTCGCAGATGTCAGAGTATACGGGTTTTGGGACTTACTATGCAGGAATTACTGCTGATAAATTTAAAGAAGGTTCTCCAGAGCTCCATAAATTAAAGTGACTTTCCGAGCCAATACGTTTGTGCACGACTGACTGAACTGTGTTGTGTTCTTGTCAGCTGCAACAAAAGTATTCTAAGATAAACTGTATCTTGTTAAAATATTCGCCTGGTTTGAAATTGTGCTTTTTTGCCTCTTCCTTCCTCTGCAGTAAATAAGATGATAAAGGAGCATGGCAACCTGTTTTCTGACACCCAGTGCAAAGTGTGCAACGCTGTCCTAAATTCTGAATCTCAGAAGTTGACTCATTATCAGGTCAGTTCACCAACATGTCTTGATGCTTTCATTTAATTCTTACATTGATGTTAATTTTAATAATTTATGTCCAATTTGTGGTTTGATTCTTCAAAAACTGCAGCATGTTCACAGTAAGCTAGCTGGGCCTTTGCTTTTAAAGTTGACAAAAGAAAGATATGTAAAATCATCCAGGGATTTTTTTTATTTTTTATTTTTTGCACTGACTTCTCTTATTTATATATTTATTTTTTTTGTAAAAAACATGTTTTGTTTTTGTACTTTCAGAGCAAGAAACATGGCAACAGGGTGCGGCGCCATTTTTCCCTTAAGAATGAAAAGGAGGAGACTGTGAAGAAAGTGAAGACATCTGACAATGTGAGTTAAATATAAACGTCCCTTAAGATGCCACTGCAACTTGAACTCCTGTTTTGACAAAAAAAAATATTCCAAGTGTAGTATTGCCAAGCAGTGATTTGAAGTATTAATTAAAAATAAAATACTGTCAATGTGAGCTGGTTGGCTTTCACATGTTGGTGGTTTTGATCATTATACCATTTCCACTTGTTTCTCTATATACAAAAGCTCCTTTTACCTTTTTTTGTCAAGAAATCTCAGTTTTTTTTAAGAAACATGGTTGCACGGATTAACGTTTTGTCGCCGCAGCAGATTTCCAACATTTTGAATGTGGCCTGGACGGATTTCCGTCATCTGTAAAAATAAGGAAGGGGAAAAAAAATGTGTGTTTCGTTGTGGTCTTGTTAAAGCCGTCCAATCTAATGATGGTACAGGAATTCAACTGACGCTGTGTTCAACCAATAAAGGAGAAGCAGGGCCACAGTTTGAGCCAATCAGAGCAGGGTGGGGCGGGTCCTGCCGTCTTGTTCACGGTGAGCCTGGGCGGGAGCAGAGAGAAACTGCAGGTGAAAGCTCACCTGCAGTAAACCAATGCGTACACCCCGCTACCCTAACAGAACCACTCACCCCTTCATGAAGGTGATGATGTGTAATAAATTATTAAACGTATGGGTTGGCATGTGACCAGTTCACGACAGCCAGGGGAGATACCAGAACTGAAATACCAGAACTGAAATACCATCACCTGTCCTCCCGCACCGCTCCCTGGACTTTTGTATCTAAAGTCTGACTTTGTATTAAATTAAAGTGTTCAGAGCGTCCTCATCGTCTTACATCGTCGTGTGCAACTTGTGCACATGACCAAACTCCGGGTCAGAGAGAGCGATTGATGAGACGTGCACCGCCGCAGGAGCGCGCAGCCTGTTGAGTTTCTCTCACGGTGACAGAGGCTGTTTCTGCTGCTTCCGTAAGAAAAAACAAAAAATTAACACTAAAAGATGAATATTCATTTGCCTCAGATTATAGCAGAGGTGTGTGTCTGTTCAATGTCAATTTTTTAATGTTAAGCTCATGCATGCTCCATAATCGAGGTAGAAAATCTACAACAGGTCTCCTGGACATGTTCCAAAAAATTGTAGAAATGTTTCGTCTTTCATCTGAACGACTTCTTCAGTCTGAGGAGCTGTTTTCAGCTCAGTCTTACAAAAGCACCTTCTTATTAGCTGTGTTTACATGCGCAAAATTCGTTGACCAGATTGAAATGTTTTCAGATTAAATAAGTTGAATGTATCGTTTACATGCAGCGGGGTTTTATTCTGAACAGAAGTACTAACATGCGCAGAGTGTTAAACTCCTTAAAAAAACACAGAAGTTCTACTTCCAGTTTACTTCTGGGATGAACGTAAACAAAGCTGAGCACCCAAACTGGATCTGCACCAGTTTTTAATGACAGTGGAGACGTTCCTGCACTCCCTGACTGAGCTACAGGTAATACAGATCATTTTGAGCTCTTTCAAAGTTTCTAGTAGAAATGTTTTGTCGCTCACCGACCAGTTTTGCGTCCCCGACATGCTAATATTATTAGCATTAGCTAACAGATGGAAATACGTGAGGTAGACGGGTCGCACATGTGCAGTCAGGTCAGTTGTCCACAATCTGGGAAAAAAATGAACAGATTAAGTTTTTACATCGTCATAAACCACCCCTCTCTTTCTGATTACACATTTTCGGATTGAGCTGAATCGACAAAGAATAATCTGAATGGGGTGCTTACAGGACACATTTTTATTCCGAATGGCCGTTTCATCACTTTGCTTATGTCCATGTAAACATAGCTACAGTGGAGCAGTTTGTTGTTGACATTCAAAACCAGCTGTTCACATGATCAAGGAGGACCATCAGCCTGGGTGATGGATCGTACGACCCTGATGGCCGCCTGCTGTTCACAGGGGGTTGAGTGATACTAGCAATAACAGCATTGTAAGAGGGAGACATGAACACGGAGGCTTCCGCCCCTGCTTAATGATGGATGATTTCTCTTCACAAAGATGGCCGCCTCTACTCTTCTCTCAACGAACGTTCCTCTCCATCAAGGATGTGAACATCTTCATCCCCTTGACTGGAAGGATGATGCACATGGTCACAGCTTTGTTCACAGAGAGAACACCACAAGTGTTGCATATTTCAGTGCAAAAATATATGCCCTAAAAACAATATTAGTGATTTCATCTTGATTGGGCTTCTGTTGTTGTGCTTTTCAAACAATACTATTTTTATTTGACGAATTTTAATAGTTTGTTGCTAAATACCCATGAACATTTACCGGTACACCTAATACATTAATATGTCTTTTTTCAGGTTTTCTTGTTATTCATTTCTGTTGTGTTGAGCCCACTTTGTTAAAGGTCTGTGAAAAGTAGGTCACAAAAGGAAGGCCTGAAAGCCTTCTAATGCAGCCTGAGAAAAAAAAACCTGCTATATTTAACCTAATTCAAATTTTACTTCTTTGCATGCATTTTTTTTTTCAAACCAAAGAGGAAAACATTTAAATGATCATACTGGTATTTAAATATGCATTACATGGTTGAATTTAACAATAATGCAATAATCAAGAGCAGAACTTCAGATATGGCAGCTTGAGTATGAACATAAAGGATCTACGGTAACTCTACTAGGACAAACATCCCTGCATGGCGGCTGCTCTGCTGGCTCTCTTAAAGTGGAAACACAAGGTTAAAAATCGGTGTTCGACATCTGAAAACAGTTACCGTGTTTTCCACCGTAAACGTCGCTCCGCCTGATGAGTTGCATCAGTCCATATTTGTCTAATAAAGTGGAAAAATCCATAAATATGTCACTTGGCCGTATACGTCGCATCTCTTTTGTTACGCGTCACCGCTGACAACCCAAAAATGTGGGCCGGAGTCGTGTCAAAAATGGACAGGCTGCCGAATGGCGGCCACAGGAGCGTGCACGGGAGGATTTTAACAAGAATTTAACACTTAAAAACATTTTGTTTGATATTAAATGTGTGTATCAATCTAACTCTTGCTTAATAAATGCACTTTAATGGTCCAATTAGCTGCATTCAGCCGGGGCGGTGCAGCTGGATTGACGGTGGGGAGTCTGTGGCAGACCGATTGTTTCATTAAAAAATGTTCAAGATTCTCAGTCATCCAGGACAGGGTAAATTCAAAAAAGTTAAAAAAAAACAAAACAAATAAAGTCCAGTTGTTTTTGTCTTGAACTTTTTGAATTTGTCGATTTAGCCACGTTTACCTATTACATGGTACAACAGGCAACATCATGCCATACAACTATTTCTGCTCTGCTGCCATCAAGTGGATGAAAGTGGTACTGCTAAAAAAATCCAGTCTGAATGAATGGAAACGGTCGTATCTCAGCCAAAAAAACGGTTTATAAATATGGGAAAAAATCCATAAATATGTCGCTTCGGCCTATAAGTCGCAGGGCATGTAAATTATACAAAAAACTGCGACTTTTAGGCCGAAAAATACAGTACTTCATCTCTTGATGCATTGCATTTAAAAATAGATTAATATTCCCAATCTTAGTGCAGCATTTATTGAGTTGTTTACATTTTAAGATTTAAAGTAGTTTTAGCAGATACTTGGTGTCTCTAACGGTACTCTTAATTTGCTGTGTGATAATTTGCTTCAATGTAAACAATCACATGGCTTCCTGTTTGTGTAACAACTCAAGGTTTCATGTTGGTTCGTCTCTTTACAAAATTGCAGCTTTGGTCAAAAAAAAAAAAAAGCTGTCAACCTCTTAATCGCTTTGCTTTATTTTATACACTTCACTGTTTTGTACACACTTTGTCGCAGTTTGTACATGTGATTAGGCCTGGGCATTTGGGGCTGTAGTAGTCCTGAATATTTTTTTGAATAATCCTGTATCTCAAGATAGACATTTAAAAAATGCATTTCTGTTCAACTCGGCATGAAGCTCCTTCTCAAGAATGACAATTTAATATGTCTGCTTAAAACAGAAGCTGGTTAGGTTGTGTTCTGTTTGAATTTCATACAAGCACCATCCTCTTTGATGCATCTGCACTGTAAAGTCTGTGCATGTAAGTGGTTACACTCACATTGTAGAGGATTTACTGGTGCACGTTTTAAAATTTGTTTGGCTGTCTTCATTATAGTACTTTTTGCAGTATTGCGTAGTATGTAGTGCTGCGTGATACAGCATGTGTCGGTGTGAAGTGTTCAAGTTGGGGGTCTATCTGAATACACAAGTAGTTTTTTTTTTTGCATGCTGTTGATGTGTTTTTTTATTTTGATCCATTTCCATGTTATTGGAAACACTGATACTGCAATATTAATACATTCTTGATCTATTGTGCAGTCCTATTAATATGTTTGCCAAGAAATTTGACTGTTTTGTGGTATTAAGCTGACCAACCTCGAAGAATTTTCTGACTTTTCAGCCACTTTTATTCTGCTTTTTCTCTTTTTTTTTTTAGATGTAAAAACCCAAATAATGAACAAATTTGTCCTTTGAAAAATTCGTAAATAATTCTTCACTTTAAAACAAAGTGTATTTATGCGTTTTCTTGTGTGTGTTCTTGCCAGGAGGATTGTGGCAATGGAGTCACGGACCGAATGAAGGCGTGTCCACTTTGTAATATGACCTTCACATCTCCAGTAATGGCCGAGTCTCATTATCAGGGCAAATTGCATGCCAGGAAGCTCAAAATGAAAACGGCTGAAAAGCAAACTCCAGGTTGGTGCTTTCTTTCCGATGAGCTTCACAACTTCTTGTTTCTTATTGTTTTAGGATTTTCACCCCCAAGGTTTATATTATTTCCTATATACATATACCATAATTGCCAGTATATAAGCTGCTACTTGTTTCTCACACTGGACTCCGCGGCTTATACACATGAGCGGCTAATTTATGTGCTTTTTAAAAATATGTATTATATTTTATTTTTATATTTTGGAAGCTGTCAAGCTTCCTTCAGCTGAATAACATTTTCTTTTGACGCACCTTGGCCCTCTTGTAGCTGCCCTACACCCACAGGGTTTCAGGGTTTTGTGACACAGATGGTGACGGCTGCAGGTACTCGTGACATGTACCTCTCGCTTATTGGTCCAATTTTGCAGCATGTGTTACCAAAACGTGCTTAACAATAAAATCAATGGTAGTAATTTAATGAACCGTTACGGTACTGTAGTATTGTACTGTGTACTGCCAGTTACATTATCTCAAGTAGGGAGTGTGGGTAAAATTTACTGGTATGTTAATTATTTAATAATTTCGGTTACGTACCGTTTGCGTTTAGCACTGTTCTCTCCTGTGATTACCGGTAGTGTGTTCTGCTTAGACTAGTTTGTGTTCATTCTGTAAGTTCATTGGTTATTTATCGTAGTACTTTAACCATGAGTCAGAGAGCGTCTCATCATGAAGACCTGTGAGGATCTTGTGTGTGTGTTGAAGACAAACCAACGTTTATGAAATGCCATCTGGTGGTTCATTCTCGTACTGCAACAAGAGCTGCACATTGTGCCAGGAGCTGTGTACATTTTCTGGTATCAAATTGTGGACACCCGCAGCTTATACACCAGCGCGTCTTATTTATGTACAAAATTGTGGTTTTTTATTTTTTTTATTTTAGTATGCACGGCTTCCAGTCGGGTGCGTTCTATAGATCGGCAATTACAGTTCTTACAATTTAAATGCTTCACTAGAGAACACTATACTGTGTACTTTTACTAAGGTTATGTACACAGTATACTGTGTACTTTTACTACGGTCATGTACACATCATACTGTGTGCATACTTTTACTAAGGTCATGTATACAGTATACTGTGTACATACTTTTACTAAGGTCATGTATACTGTGTACATACTTTTACTAAGGTCATGTATACAGTATACTGTGTACATACTTTTACTAAGGTCATGCACACAGTATACTGTGTACATTTACTAAGGTCATGTATACAGTATACTCCTCTTTACATGAAAACCTTTGAGAAGTGACCCGTATGCAGGAAAACGCTCTCCAGTATGTAGTACAGGGCTGTCTGCTTGACAACCTGGAACATTTCCTTATGTCTACCCCTGTTCCTTTTTGTTAGTCGAAGCGCCTCAGACAGCAAAGGCGAAGGAGAAACCTGTTGCCGTCTCCAGTGGCGTTACTGACACGGACAACAACGACCCAGACCGCTACTGCTCCACCTGCAAGGCCTCCTTCAACAACCCGCTCATGGCCCAGCAGCACTACGAGGGCAAGAAGCATAAAAAACGAATGTCTCAACTTAAACTGTTCGAGACGTACGGGCCCTCCACTGCACCAGGTTGGAAGACCATTTAAGTTGCCCCTCAGTTATTCAATCAATGAGTAGAGCAAGGTGACCGTCAGACTGAGGCTGTTTTGATGTAGTGTGACTAAAACACATAGTGGAACTAGCATACGTTAAAGAAATGTGCACCTTGCATGTCAAAGTTTTAAACAAACATGTCACACGATCTGTTAATGCTTGGAGTAGGAGCTATGAATAACTTCCAGCTACTGATATACCACGTTTTAGCTCAATGTCTAAAACTGACTGAGCTACAGTCATTTGTGCGTTTGCTAAATCTGATTAAGTCAGGTTGATCCCAGTGTTCAGCTGTAGATGTACATTCAGTGATTACTTTTTGAGAGTTTCGTTCAAGTCAGTCCAGTAGTTTTTTTTTTCTGTTTAAAGACTCATTTTTTGAGAAATGAATGGGTCAAATGTTTAACAGTGTAAAAACAAAAAACTAATGCATTTTAATTTAAATTAAAAATTGTATTTTTTCATGGCTGCCCTATTAATACTCTCAATTGGTTAATCTTAACATTCCTAATGTGTATCTACTGTATTTTCCGCCATACACGTCACTCCGCGCTATAAGTCGCATCAGTCCAAATATGTCTAAAAAAGTGGGAAAATCCATAAATATGTCGCTTCGTCGTATACGTCGCATCTATTATGCGTCACCGCTGACACCCCGGAAATGTGGGTCAGCGTTGTGCCAAAAATCAATGAGCTGCCAAATGGCGGGAGCGTGCACGGGAGGACTTTAACAATAATTTAACAAGATTAACACTTAAAAACAATTATTTGTTTGCTCGAAATTATATTAAAGGTGTGTCTCAGTCTAACTTTTGCTTAATAAATGCACTTTGACGGTCAAATCAGCTGCATTTCACCGGAGCGGTGCAGCACAATGAAGCTGAGGTTGCTCCAAGCAGCGAGCAGAACGAAGGCGGCAGAATATGGCAAGCCGATTGTGTCATTAATAGCTGGTGAATATTGTCAGTCATCCGGGACATGGTAAATTCAAAATAAGTTCAAGACAAAAACAATAAAGTATAATTTATAATAAATAAAGTCCAGTTGTTTTAGTCTTGAACTTTTTTGAATTTGTCATTAATAGCCACTTTCACCTATTACATGATACAACGGCATGCCTTACTACTCGACTGCCATCTAGTGGGTGAAAATGGTATTGTTCAATGTTTCCAGTCAGGATGAATGAAAACGATCATATCTCAGCCAAAAATTGGTTTATAAATGTGGGAAAATCCATAAATACGTCGCTTCGGCCTATAAGTTGCAGGGCACGCAAATTATGCAAAAAACACGACTTATAGGGCGAAAAATACGGTAATTTTATTTAAAGATTTCACCCATACTAAGATGCAACTAACTTCCCTACTTTCTTTTATCCACTGTAGTTTCAACACAAAATGGTTACTCGTGCACCATCTGCAACATTGTGCTGAACTCTGTGGAACAGTACCAGTCTCACATCACTGGTGCCAAGCATAAGAACCAGTAAGTACCCACAAGTGGCTACAGTACCTTTAACAACAAGATACATTTGTTGGTGCTCGTACAGCTCGTTGAATCAATGCTTCAAAGATTTTTCTACCTGGATTATTGAGCTTGCATCAGGATATCTACAGCGAGTCCTCCTCACTCTGTCTCTGATCCTCTGTCCTCACTCCAACTACCTCCATGTCCTCTTATGTTTCCTAAATATTTAAATGTCTCAACGGTTTTTTTTAATTATTTTTTATTAGAATGAAGAAATCCGGTCTGAATCCTGAAGAGGACCAACTTCCAGCAGAACAATCACAGGATGACAACAACCAGTGCGCTTCAGCAGATGACCAGCTCGCAGCCGGGGAGGACGAGTTCGCAGCCGGGGAGGACGAGTTCGCAGCAGGGGAGGACGAGTTCGCACCAGGGGACGGCCAGTATGATGCTGAAGATGGCCGGTATGCAGCCAATGACCAGTACACCAATGAGTGCACAGAGTTCTCAGAGCAGTTCCAGTATGCTTAAAGCTGGACCACCATGGACTGCAGAGGCTTCAGTCAGGATTTGAACCGACACTCTACGTCCCCACGTCCCCCCCCCTCCCTTTAACACATTAACAAACCATCAGCACCCTCATCAACGTTTAGCTTCTTTAGGTGTCTGCAGTGCGACAGTCGTAAAAACCTGTTTGGACCTTGAATTTCCTCGTTTTCATATTTTAAGTTTTAAGCTGAAACTGTCCTTAGGGTGCGTTTCATTTTCTTCTGGTAAAATTAATATTTTCATGTGTAAAATATTCATTCCCTTCAGCGTGTGATGAAGTAGTGATGCAGCGGCGTGCTCAGAGGAATGCCTGTTTGGCTTTTATTCTGTTACAAATCCACAACATGATCGAGTTGCATTGGCGCTGGATATTGTCAAATTTGACTGCAATACGGCTTAAACATCTTTCTTTTGCGCGGCCTCACAAATTCTAGGAAAAGCCAAAGTTGTGTTTATCTCATAATTACCAGGCCTAGACAAAAAAAAAAATAAATAAATCTCTTCCCACTTCGTATTCAGCTCTTCTTGCTGCAGTTGCTTCAGCTCAAACACACAAACTCCAAATGCTGTTTTGGCCAGAGCAGAACGTGCAGGGAGCAGCTCACGTGGCCGAAGCAGCCTGAGCGGCGGGTCACACAGAACTGTGGCGACTTTGACCAAATTTAAAGAAAAGCGTTCGTGACATTTTGGGCTTGATGACCAGCGCTGGTGTAAATCTGTATTCACTAAACTTTAATTCCAACATGAGCACAGGAAGGGTCGCAGGACTCGGAGAACAAAAACATTTATAATAATCTGCTAGGAGTGGAGGAGGGGCGGATTATTTTTATTGTTCATTTTTTACACGTTTTGACCACGCAGAGCCTCGTGTAAGCAGTCAACACAAAGCAAAGCTGGCATGTTGGTTTTCGCTCCGTTAGCAGAACGTATTTATTGAAGACTCCTCTGATCTGCTTCTAGTGGGAACTCGCTGGGCTGTGGCTGCGGGGCGCTAGTTCACGACGCAAACATGCAAACAAAACAGGATATTTAGTTGCAGTCACTGAATTCTGGGTGTTTGCGGCCACGTTTTGTGTTGCCGGTATTGAAAACGTTTTATTGTGCACGGCTTGCACTGTATCCTGCGCCACCATGGCTCGTTCTGTGCTAAAGCTCGACTTGAGTTTTATAAATCTGGGCAGCCTGTGCACCGAATGTTCACTTTTTTAAAATTTCACATCAGTTTGTATTTTCCATTTAACTAAAATAAAGCAATAGCTTAAATTCAACATGTATTTAACAACTTGTAAAAGAACTTTGGTCAGTCAGATTAATGGTGCATTAAAGTTAGCTGCTGCTACGGCCGCATGATGTCAGAAAACTTCATATCGATTGTGATGAACCAGTACTTTCCTGACCTCTCAACTTCTCTCCTGTACGATGGAGTTTTAGGGCCACGCTAAGAAAAAACAATTAAAAGACATAAAATTACGGGAATAAAGTCGAATAAAGTCTTAAAATTACAAGAATAAAGTCGTACGCGATTTTTTTGCCGTTCTCGAGTCGCATCCACGACGCGACCTGTCAGTCAATCCAGTAGGCGTGTCAGCAAATGACCAATCCGAAGCTAAACGAGTCGTAATATCCGACACGACAAAGCACCTTTACTGCATTTTAACTGATAAAATGAAAAATGTTGAGCATCTTGTTAAGTTATACTTTGGTGTTGGTTTTACAAATGAGATGGTTAATCTGGAGCACATCAGCATCAGATTATTATCCGTATCAGGACTTTGAACCTGCTTCCAGTAAGGTGGTACGCTCTGATGGGCTGCAGCGCAGCTCTGCAGGTAAAGAGCATTTAGCTTCGGATTGCTCAGTTGCTGACACGCCTACTGGATTGATTGACAGGTCGCATTGTGGATCTGACTCGTGGGAAAATTTTAAAAATAAATGAGAGCTGAAAAAAAAAGTAATTTTAGATCTTAAAAAAAAGTTCTTAGTGTGGCCATAAAGCTTCGTCGTACTCCCGTCACCATCATCAGAACCAGATTTGAGCAGCAGAGCCAGCGCAAGTCTTTTGGATTGACCAATCATTTCTTAGCATGCAGGTCAGGACTGCATGGTACCTGAAGTATAATCTGACCTGTTGCAGTCCTTATAGAAATTGTGCTGATTGTTAATCTAGTGCCGTTTAAAAAAAAAAAAATTCTGGTCAGCCATCACTTCTCTTTTTCGTAATCCATGAAGTCGGTGCAGTCACGGCCAATTCATGCGTTTCTTTAAATATCACCGTCTCAATTGGTCGGCTGATTTATGTCTACTTCTACTTGTACCCACGTTTAGGATTCAAGCTGCTGGAGTTCAGTTTGGAAATGAGAATATGTAGATTTAGACCAGTTTTTCCCAAAATAATAATTGTATCCAGTGTGTTTTTTAGACCTGGACATGTTTTTATTCAGAACGGGGCTCCGGTGCTGGTATCAGAATACGACGTCAGGATTAACATGAGCTCGAGACACCTGCGACGATTAAACAATGATTTTGAGAGAACGTTTGTTGCACAATGTTTATTTTTTTTTACATATTCAAAACTCAAAACAGCAAATCTGTGCATAAACGGAACAGCCACAAACATCCCGAGACGTTCTGGAGACCCGCTCGTAAATACTGTGCCCCACCCAGTCGCAGCCCAGCGACAAACCGCCTTCCTGACCCTTTCGTGTGTCTGAACCCGAGTCCAAGTGAAGCTCTCGGTCATAAACTCAACATTGGTATTTATAGTCTGTGTGCGTCTGCTTCAACCGTTTACATTCTTTTAAGGTAGCTGGTTAGTATCTTTATTATTATTTTTTATTAAAAACGTTTGTTGGTTCTGAAAAGATCGGTTTAAAGTTTTTAATGTCTTGATGTTTCTTTTTTATTTTTACTGGCAGCAGATTTTACTGTAAAATACCTTAATGTCATACGATTTGTCCCTAAAGCCTCTTTAAGCCACTGGAAGTTGAGTAACTCGATCTCAGTTTGTCAACAAGACGTAGTTTGATGTCTCGTTTTATTTTTTATTAACGGTCTTTTTCCTCTCAGAAAGAAACATCTGTGATGGAAGTGGCTCCATCAAGCTAGCGGCATGATTTCTTTCTCTGAATGGTCTAAATTTGAATAGATTCCCTATAAGATAAACTGCTGTTCATTGTAGACGTCCCAATATTTGCTACATAAAGTGATGTCAAAAGAACCAGTGATGTCAGAGTTGGATCTTTTTTTTTTTTTGTCGTTTAATTTTGTTCACGTATGACAGTTGGTTAAATATTTTAGTATTTAATGTCTAATCTCTTGTCAAAAGTGAAATCAACAATAAAAAATGGGATGTAAGTGCATACTGTTTGACCGCCATGAGAAAGACTTGGTTGTTTTTATCATCGTTCGTGTTCTTGATGTTTTGTGAACATTTACTTTCAACACAAGTTACGTAATAAAAAAAAAGGCTGCAAAGATGTGCATAAATAGAAAAATGTTTTAAAAGTTTCAATTCATTTTTTGGAAAACGATAGTTTGGATTTTGATGGAGGCAAAGCTGCGATATTAAGCCAGCTGATTGTTTGTTGCAGATGTAAGTGAAGGAGGAGATGTTTAGTCGACGGGCAAAATTAACAAATCGTGTGGGAAGAAGCGCTGGTGTGAGAACATGAACGTGAGTTCCAGCTTCATATTTCCTGCACTGGCTGTTCGATCCGTGAACAAACCAAGTGAAGCATGTTTTGGTGAAAGTCTTAAAGCTGCTCACTTTAATCTGTTTCAGCAGGTCAGACCAAACGGGTCTGGACCTTTCTGTCGTCCCCCGGCTGCAGGGACTGCCTTCAAGTTCAACAATCTTTTTTATCCCAGTCAGTACATACAAAACATCAATACTAGACAAAACATTAAAGTACAAAATCCAATAATGGTCATTCAGGTCATCTGTACAGTTTTTTTGTGGGAAATATGTTTCACCCTCTATCCAGAGGGCTTCATCAGTCTGAGGAGTCCCAAGTAAACTTCCCCACTAAAGAGTGCACTCCTTAAGTGGACAAACCAGTTTGCTGGTGATAAGATGGTTATCTGGTTGGTCCACTAAAGGAGTGTACTGCTTAGTGGGGAAAACCGTTTACTTGGGACTCCTCAGACTGATGAAGCCCTCCGGATAATAAAAATTATTTTATTTAAAAAGTGCCTTTCAGGACACCAAAGGACACTTTACAGCAAGAAACCTCAGGTAAGATTGTGTAAAAACAAGCACGGTGCAAATATTGACAAGAATAAATTGAAATATAAAATTGTAGTGTTCTAAAGGGCTAGGTTAGCTTCAGAGCTTCACTACAGTCATATTTAAAATAACGGGTTCTCTCTTTTTCGAGCTAATTATATGTGACAGAGGTACTGTGCGTAGATGGTTTAATCAGTGACATGAGACGTTAATTTTCTTTGACCCATCAAAATAAATGTGGTCATTTATTAACAGAATCAAAATTTAACATCAAAACATTGTACACTTGATTAGACTGATCTGGTTCTGATTAATAAAACTTGGCACGTTTTACTTAATAAAACAGACATTTCTGAAGGCATCTGGATTAATTACTGGCAAGATAGAAGAGTTTTAAAGATGGGAAATATGGAGGAGTTTAAAGGAAGATGTGGAGGAAGATGCAAGTCTGTAGACCAGAACAACACGCTCCTTTCAAGCGCAGCTCGCCCGCGGTACACTTGTAGTGAAGCTCGTGACGACTCTTTACCTTGGCAGAGGATGGGTCCGCTACGGTCAAGAGGTCCCTGGCACGCTACCTTTCAGCGTCTCCTCAGGGCGGCTGTGACCCGGCAGAAGTCGTGAGATACTCCGTTCTACAGAACAAACTTCCTCAGAAGTTGTAGGGCGTTCGCCTGGTGGAGCCACAGCGAGGCGTCGTGACCCCTGCAGAGATGGATGACTCCATCAGACTGGAAAACTGAGTCCGAAGTTCCACTCAGCAGTGGAAAAACTCCAGAACAGCTAGAACTCTCCCAGAACCTCAGAAAACTCTAGAAGACATTACTCCAGAAGACTCAGAAGGCTCAGAAGAACTGATAGTTCCAGGAAGTGTCGACTTTTAAAGAGTTCTGCTTCCGGTTTAGTAAGTCCTGATTGGTTGAAGCAACCAACAGGGGTGTGGTTCTAGTGATGTCAAAGGGTTTTTTCAAGTCAAGAAAACGGCAAGAATGTTTTAGGAACAGACAGAGAAATGTTTTGGCGAAGTGAGAAACACTGCAGGTGCCAGTTTTCTTATTTACTGTCTGAGAGTTTTAAAAACACGACAGCCCGTTCTAACAACTTGTTTTTGACCGTCTCTGACTTTTGACCGACATCACTCCTCATTTCAGACAGAAGGTCAAAATGCATAATTACTTTGTAAATAGACATTTAACTTGATTTCTAATTTAAATGAGGATTAAAAAAAATAATTAATACTGTTTCACAGTTGATTTAAAATTAGTGGTTCACTTCAACATTTAGAAATGGTATGAACTAAACACACTTTTGATTATCAAGATATTGTAAAATAGTGATGATAATATAAAAAGAGAGTGTTCTTTCAATTGATTAGTTCAGGATACAATTAGACAGTCTCTGGATGAGCTAATTTTGTATTTCTGGATTCAAATCAATGAAATAACAGTTCCTGTCCCATGAAGGTCTTCAGAGGCAGGTTTTGGTCGGAGGCCTAGTCCACTACAAAATGCATAAATGATATAAAGTACATAAAACAAAGGTAAGAAGGATAAGTTAGTCTAAAGAGATGTGTTTTCAGAGTAGTCTTGAACAGAGAAAGAGGTGGTGGTTTGTAGGTCTGGTGGTGGAGAGTTCCAGAGATGGGGCAGGTGAAGGCCCTGCTCCTCATGGTGGAGAGGGCGAAACGTCTTTCCACAAAAAGAAAACTGTCCAGATGATCTGATTGATCATTATTGGATTTTCTACCTGGTTGATTGAACATGAACTTTGATGTCTTGAACCACTTTGGTTGTGGCTGCCTGCCTGGGAGGAGTCGACGGAGAGGACGGCCCCCAGAAACCATCTTATCACCAGTAAACTGGCTGGTCCACTAAAGGAGTGTACTGCTTAGTGGGGAAACCGTTTACTTGGGACTCCTCAGACTGATGAAGCCCTCAGGATAGAGGATGAAACAGTCATCCACAAAATCCAATAATGATCAATCAGGTCATCTGGACTGTTTCTTTTTTGTGGAAAGCTGAGCATGAACTTTGATAAGTACAGAGATCATCACTGTTCGTAGAGAAGCCTGATAGCTACAGGGATGAACGAGTTTTCAGTCTGTTCCTCCTACATGTGGGCAGCAGATAATCTGCATCCAGCAACCTGAACTCACCATGGAGTGGATGATCAGGATCTGCCAGAATCAGCCTGTCTTTGTTCACTGACCTCGCCTTGTGTAGGTCATTGAGGTTCTGTAGGGCTATGCCAACAGTTTTGCTGCACATCCTGACAATCCCCAAGAGTTTCTTCCTGTTTTTGCAAGTCAAAAGTCCAAACCAACATCTTCTCCAGCTCCATTAACGATGTTTTACTGATCATCTGTTTGGTTTTGAAATCTGGACTTGGCATCACTATTTTTCCCCAGAACCTTTGGTCTCTTCCATCAACACGTTTGAGTTTTGGCTCCGGGTACAAAGTTTACATCTTGAAGTTGAAGATCCATCCATTCTTGTCCGTCTGCAGACGTCTATTTCCACAACCAGCTCTTCTGGGAGGATTCCCAGGCGTTCCCACACCAGCCCAAAACAC